TGGCAAAATAAAGGTATTCCTATTTGAGTCATTGTAACTTTCACCTGAACATCTATAGTATTGCGTGAACACAGAACTTTGAATGAATGAACAGAACACTTTATTTGCCGCTTTTCAGCATTCACGAGGTTCACTCAAGATTTCCACAACCAAACCCTCCTTCCAATCCAACCCAAATCCCAACCCAAATCTTGCATTATATTTCCCTGTATTTCATTTCTCAATTTAAATTATTACTGCAGCTATATTTGTATTTGGCTATGATGGCCACCACAAATTTGAAAGATTGTCATAAAAATATATAGCCTTGTGATACTGTTTGTGGTTAGAAACAAAGGAAAACCCCCAGTTATACGCACGTGTTCTTATGAACCTATTTAATTAATATAAGTTAACACTTTACAACGTTTTTAACGTATCTTGGGACTTTTGAAAAAAATTTTAAATGTATCAAGCTCAGCTTTGCATAACATTGTAAGTGTATTATTAGCCAATGACTACAAAAAATAACCTTTCAAAAAGAAGGCAGTCTTTAGAAGAAAGAAAATTTAATAATGAAAATGCACTGTATTTGATGCAGAGGATTGAGTCATGCACATGATGTTGTTTTCAAATCTTTTAGATGATTGATTGAAAAATATGCTTCATTCGCCGCAGATCAGCAATCACAAGGTTCAACATCTTTTCCACTCCAATCCAAAAATCCATTCAAAATAAAAAATACACCCTGTTACATGTAAATGCCAGAATAATTGATAGGCACATTTTTTCAACCAAAAAGAAAAAAGCACATAACAGCCATCAGGAAATTTGTGAGAGAAATTCAAGTAAAACAGTAATCAGCCTGTTCCCAGATGAATATAAATTGTATGAGCAATTTACAAAGGATATTTCAGGGGAAATCAAATACATCCAACACTTTTCCCTTCTCTCACTTGGACAGTAATGCAGGTGTTGGAGCCATGAAATATTTGGCATCTATAGTTGTAAATGGTTCCTGATTATAGTACAGTCAAACCCCGTTAAACCGCCAACGTTTGTGCAGCAGAATTTTGGCGGTTTAACGGGGTTGGCGGTTTAATGAGGGAGGGGTTGCCACAGTATTTATTGAATAAGTGTATTTGATCTCTTGAAAAAATGTGTCAACCTCTAACCCTCCCCATCCTGCTTTTGGTGATGATGACTCTTCATTCTGTTTTTTTGTGGGGACATAAATCTCTCATTATTTTCATCTTTAAATTGAGAAAAAAATAATTTAAAAAAATATTACCAGAAATATAAAGCTTTGAAGAGAGGAGCCAAAATTTGGCGGTTTAACGGGGTAAAAAACAATGCCAAGATCCTGTTTGTTTGGCATAAAACCTTGGCAGTTGGCGGATAAACGGGGTTTTCCCATCCCTTCAAGCTTGAGAAGATTTGTTTGGGAGGAAAAAATGGCGGGAAGCGAGGGTGGCGGTCAATCGGGGGGCGGTTTAACGGGGTTCAACTGTACATCTGATACCTTGAAATTCAACCCTAATCTGTTGCCAAACTAGGCTCAAATTGAAAATTAGTTGTATTGCAAGACACTATGTGAAATTCAAAAATATCATTGCAAAGGGCAAAAGGGGGCCAAAGCAGGTTGAATTACAGGGCAAGGGTTGAATTGCAAGTCAACCTCCTTGGATACTTAACCATCACATTGCAGGATAGTCAAATTGTGACATACCAAAGTATCCCAAATGGGGAATGGTAAAGTCCAGCCTCAAGTCAGCCCATCATGAGTAAATAGTGTGGAACAATCTCCAAACTAGTTGTCATAATGACCTAGATACAAAATTTCAGAGAAAACCTCTTCATTGAACATTGAGAATCCCAAGTTTTTTACAAGTTAAAATCTGATATTCTGTGGAATGCTGGGCATTATAGAAGAAGGTCTTTTGGTGATGCAGTAACCAATATATTTACACATTCACATTTTAGATGACAAGGTGGTTCCCTCAACTGTGGAATATCAAGTTTCCAGGAACCAAAAGCGAGGCATGCTTTTGGGCTCAGTTTCACTAGCAGAAAAATTTGTCGTGAATGGTCTTCACCATACCGAAGGTCTACAGCAAGATTTCATTTCCGACGATGATAGTAAACTGGGATCCATTTTGAGGAATGATGAGGACAAGAGCAATAAAACCAGGCCTGAGGAAAAAGGCTTCATCAAGCCGGAAATTTTGCACAATGAAACAATACAGTCATTGAAGTTCTTCAACAATCACGAGGAAGCGGATCAAAACAAATTCAGCATTTTTAGGGGCCATCAGAAAAATTTCAATGCCACTTATTCCTCTAACTCAAATAGTCACTCAAACTCTGGGACATCAAAAGACGCACCACAAAAGACTACAGACAAAGAAAGAGCTTCAGAAATTGCTCAAGGTGAATATTTTTCAAGTGCCATTGCACAATGCTCCTTTTTTCAGAATTCAGAGGAACTAAAAGCTAATTTGTCACAGGCAGGTGTATAAAAATTTATAAATGTTTCATGGTTCAGGTTATTGGCAGCATAATACTTGACTAAATTAACAAATTTTTGAAAAATTTCAACACATTTTGTGTTCAAATGGAAACAATAGAAAATAATTAAATATGGGTTCAATTCATGTCCAAATTCAAATTCTGGTATTTCTTACCTTAGAAATACAGTTGACCCCTATACAATGGGCCTCCAGCGCAATGGATTTTTGCAAAACATACTGCCTCTGGGGGTGGTTTTCCCTCCCTTGCAATCACAACAGACTATAAATCCACATAACAGACTTATTATTCTGTTGTTTTAAATTAATGGAAAAAAGTAAAAATTGTAAATGAATGAATGAACAGAAAACTTTATTTGCCGCTTTTCAGCGTTCACAAGGGATAACCAGAACTCCCGCATCCAAACCCCCTCCCCACCCAACCCAACTCCCCCAAATACATTCAATCATTTCAAAGCATGAAACAAAGCACAAACAAATGACAAAAATAAAAGAGAACACACTCCACAAAATAAAACTGGACATCCTACACGTATGTTGCAAATTGTAATATTACAATAATTAAATCTTCATAAGAAAATTTTCAGACAAAGACTATTCTGTTGCACAAATGAAATCCATTGTGGGGGGGTTGACTGTACTGCAGTTTTTCATTCAATATAAATGGGTTGCTTGTAATACAATGGGGATGGGATTTTTTAGCAGAAAAATCTGGATGCACCAAATTTTTTTTCCAAGTGAAGATAATTGAAAGTTGAATGAATTTGGATTCTATTCATGCTCCAATTCAAAGTCAGAGGTTTGTTATCAATATTGCAGTTTTCCAACCATTAAAAATTGGGTACATGTCCTAAGCTGTACTAAGATTTATTATCTTATTGAAATTTTAGGCTGAGATACCTGAGTGCACATCATACTCAAATATAAAGGCATCTTCTACTGATGGAAAATGGTAATTTGGAAAATTGAAGAAAAAATCCCTACATTGATGACATATTCATTATATTTCTATATAATGGCCAAGATTGTCAGGTAATCAAGAGACTATATAATAGTAGAACTTGTGAGTTTAGGCCCACATACACTTTGTGTGTGACCTTTTTATTTCAACTTGCAAAACTGTTCTGGGAAATTTAATATTGCAGGCAGAAAAAAAAACGAATAAAAAATGAAATTTGTGGAGTTATTGATTATATATGATGCACACCTTATTTCTTCTCCAAAAATTTTACAAGAAAAAGGTGGATAGTGTATTTGCTTGAAAATGGGACATTTGCTCTCCTTTCAAATGTTATATGACCATTGCTATCAATTCAAATTGAACTTTTATGAATTCTCGGCAGAGTCCAAACTTATTTCAAATGAAGAAATACCCGTGGAGAAAATTGCCTTGAACAGGGCCATTGACGCCCTCGCCCTTTTATTTTCCACTTTGGCTGAGCAAAGACTCGGTATGCGGAAGGACAAACAAATCAGAGATGAAGTGCTGCAAAAAATACCACAACAAGTCAAGTCTGATCTTCTTCGTCGGGTAATTCGAGGTGCCATCAAGAAATCCATTTCAGGTGAATTGCATTATCGTGATTGAAAAATGTCAATCAATTTTTTTAATTACCTCGATATATTGAATGGAATCAAGCTTTCTCCTGCATTTTTTTTCGATTTATGATCTTGATTTTTTTCATGCAAACTGTAATCGGCCATGAAATAGGTAAAATCATTCAGATTTGAGAAATTTTGATAAACGCTGTGTTTTTATTCAATTTGGAGCATAAGGTTTATATTGTAATTGTTTGTGGTGGGTTTCTATAGGGAATGATTCTTTTCAAATCTTCATTCGCATCACGGGTATTTCAAGGTATTTTTGCATTGAAAACATGAATGTATGAATAAGCTTCGGTTTCTCTTGCAGGAAATTCTGAAATTTCCAGAACAGCCAATTTCTCATCAGTTTTTGTCAAAATTGCGATATTAACTTAACTCATCTCAGGGGATGAAAAAATGTTTTCAAGATGTATATNTGATGGAAAATGGTAATTTGGAAAATTGAAGAAAAAATCCCTACATTGATGACATATTCATTATATTTCTATATAATGGCCAAGATTGTCAGGTAATCAAGAGACTATATAATAGTAGAACTTGTGAGTTTAGGCCCACATACACTTTGTGTGTGACCTTTTTATTTCAACTTGCAAAACTGTTCTGGAAAAGTTTATATTGCAGGCAGAAAAACGAATAAAAAAATAAAATTTGTGGAGTTCTTGATTATATGATGCACACCTTATTTCTTCTCCACAAATTTTACAAGAAAAAGGTGGATAGTGTATTTGCTTGAAAATGGGACGTTTGCTCTCCTTTCAAATGTTATATGACCATTGCTATTAATTCAAATTGAACTTTTATAAATTCTCGACAGAGTCCAAACTTATTTCAAATGAAGAGATACCCGTGGAGAAAATTGCCTTGAACAGGGCCATTGATCGGGAGCGGGAAAATAAAAGGTGAAACCGACTCGTTTCTGAGCCATACGCCTTCCTGTTTGTTTAGTCTCTACTTCACGACGTTTTTTATGGTGTTGTTCAGTTCAGACTAGAAGAAGCAGCCCATTTTCGAGGTGCCATCAAGAAATCCATTTCAGGTGAATTGCATTATCGTGATTGAAAAATGTCAATCAATTTTTTTAATTACCTCGATATATTGAATGGAATCAAGCTTTCTCCTGCATTTTTTTTCGATTTATGATCTTGATTTTTTTCATGCAAACTGTAATCGGCCATGAAATAGGTAAAATCATTCAGATTTGAGAAATTTTGATAAACGCTGTGTTTTTATTCAATTTGGAGCATAAGGTTTATATTGTAATTGTTTGTGGTGGGTTTCTATAGGGAATGATTCTTTTTAAATCTTCATTCGCATCACGGGTATTTCAAGGTATTTTTGCATTGAAAACATGAATGTATGAATAAGCTTCGGTTTCTCTTGCAGGAAATTCTGAAATTTCCAGAACAGCCAATTTCTCATCAGTTTTTGTCAAAATTGCGATATTAACTTAACTCATCTCAGGGGATGAAAAAATGTTTTCAAGATGTATATCGTAAACTTTCAGAAGTGAATTTCGGGATTTAAAAAACATTTTTCCTGGAAAAATATTTTGAAGCCTCATGATGCTCATAAGATGAAAATGAGCTTATTTCAGCAAAGTGACGATAAAATTGACGATAATTGCAAAAATCGCCAAAATAGTAGCCAATACCTTTTTTTTAACTCTTTGCTGATGGCAATCAAATAATTATTTTGATAAGATATCGAAAAATCATTTCATACCTCCATGTCATTTACGCAAATATTTTTTGTGAATATTTAATCTTACAACATTTAATCTGGAATGCTGAAAAATAAATTGTATTCCTTCCATATTTCAGGTCTTTCAAATTAGAGAATATTTGAGCTGAATATTGAGGAAAAACTATTTTTCGGAAGGATTGTGTCCATTAATATTTATATCCAAAGCCTCACATTGAAAATATTTTTCAGTTTTCTACCCTGATTTTTTCTTTATTCCCTTCAGCAAATGCTGGTCAAGAATTCAACCCCAAACGGAAACCCGCTTCAAAATTGGAACCCGGGTACGACTTGATCAGGTTCCCTCGCTCAAAATCCAATCCCGAGTCTCTCCAAGGCAAAACCTCTTCTCTGGAGGACCTGAAAAACAAGATCCGAGGTCATGAAATCCGATACAAGAAACTCCAAAAGCAAAACCAGCGTCTGGAAAAAGTTCTCATGAAACTAGAAGAAAACGCGAAAAAAACCAACGTCTAAATAATATTAAAAAAACCCGTCACTCAATAAAAAGAAATAACGTGACATTTCGGTAATAACTGAACCTGATGAAAGAAAAAAAACAATCCCGCGTTATTTTCCTCATTTTTTTTCTCAAAGCAATTTTAAAAAATAATATGGATCACACAGTCATCATCATTCAGTTCTTTCTATTCCCGTTTTCTAAATAAAATAAAAAATGCGAAGATGAAACCAATGGATGAGAATCGGAAAAAATACGGAATCAATCCCTTTTTTCATTGTGTGTTTTCTTTCACCTTTCTCTATATCTCCTTTCGAAAAAAAAAACCTGCGTATGCTTTGGAAAATATAGCGTCGAAAAACCTCGGAAGTTTTTTGCAAAAAACACTTCAAGAAAAGCATGCTCTATCCTTATCCCATGAATAAGCTTTCAGCAGTCCATATCATATATCATATCAGTGCTGAGAAGAGAAATTCAAGATTTTTCCCTTTTTCACCTCCTTTTTGCACACAATGATATTCACGTGTTTCGCAGCAGTGATTTTAGCGGGATCTTGTGCCGTTGCCGAAATTTCATCGCTCTCAGATCCCCTCATCGAAGAAATGATCCCTCTGAAAAAAGGTCGCATCGTGGGAAGGGCTTACGCGGAAACTATAAATTTCGACGACGACACCACAACATTGATAACGACACCTTCGACGACGACGACAAAGAAAAAGTCTTTGAAACCCTCATCGACTCATCATTCCAGTGCCAGCAGCAGCAGCAGCAGCAAGAAACCCTCGGCGAAATTGAAAAAGAAGCCAAAACCCACCAGCACGTCATCCCCTGATGATGACGATTATGACAATAATAATAATACCGAAGACATCGACATTCATTACATTCGCAGCAACGTCGACATCAACAAGTTGCACGAATTATTGGGCCAGTTGACGAAACCGACGAAAAGGACTCGTCCCCAGCACACGTCAACAACTGCAGCAACACAGATTTCAAAGTCCATCGCAGCTCGGAAAGTGAATGCCATCAGAGACAAACTCTCGAAAAGACCCAGAAAATTCCATAATTTCGGCAGTGATGACAATAATGATGACGAAGAAAGTGTCGTGTACGAGACTGCGATAAACACCAGGGATGACAAAGAGAAGAATTCTTAATTACAAAGTTGCCCTGAGGCGACGGAGCCTGAAATCGGAAAAACGCAGAAAGTTTCTGGACGTGCAAAGACGCATGAAACTCAAACATTAGAAGCAAAAGACTCACATGAAGAAATTGCACTTGGCGCAAGTATCCTGCAGTCTTTACAAGACGAATCAATTGCAAATGTTTTCAGGATAAATTCTGCGGGGAAAAAAAAAGAGGAGAGAAACCAAAATGTGCTTTTCTTTGTCCCGAGCCGATTCTGTGAAAATAATGCTGGAGAGGAATAAAGGAAAGAAAGAAAATCCGACTTGGTTTATTTCAGCCGAAAGCAGGAGTTGATTCTTTGCTTTTTGCAAATGTTGGGTCACTTCTGTGTACTTGCAAAAAAAAAGCAAAGTATATTTTAGGTCGTGGTTCTCCAGACTTTCACATCACTTCTTCAAGGAGCTCAGGTTCATCCGGTTCTCTTATTCAGCAGTGAAATCTTTCTTTTGCTTTTAAAAAAAATATCCCAGTCTCAGTTTTTGCAACAAAATGTTTTTTCGTCCTCTTCAACCGACTTCAGGTGAAAAATAACGTCTTAATCTGGATTTAAATCGTCCATAGTACTTTTACAAAGGTTAACGTAAAAACCAACAAGACCACTTGGAGACGAAGTGTCGCGGTGAGTTTCAATTATTGTCCATTCCCAATTTTTTTATTCCATTTTATAAAGTAAGATTGTAAAAAATATGGAGGTATAAATGTGAGAGAATTATGTGGAAATTCATATTTGGAAACGCCAATATAAGTGCTTCCAAGTGAAAAGCTGTGATGTTCTGGTGCTGTTGCCAAAAATCATGAAATGCATGGAATGTCTCTTTAAATTATATAATAATGCTGATCTTGAATTTCCTAACAAAAATCATTGTTAACCTGTGCAAAATAGAGATTTCCTCATAAATCTCATACTTTAAAAAATTGTACTGAAACTATCTCAGGGCATGAATTTTTTTTCAAGTCTTTTGTCCAATGCAAATGTTCTGTACTGAACCTTGTTGATGGATTCATTGGAACTACAGTAATAACATTTTTCAAAGGTTCAAGCCTTATGGGAAGTGAAATTTGAAGCAAAAACTGGAATTTCATTCGCATACACAAATTTTCACAGACCATCAAATTGGAGACAGGAGGTTTTTTCTCAGAATGGGTGGAAGTAAAACATATATTGTTTATTCCCTGCATCGTACAACAAATCTTTTGCAACTTCATGCATAAAACATGAGTAGCATTGAATCAATAGGCCAATTGGGAGCCAGCAGATGCACTTTATATACTTTCAGAATTTAAAATATGTAAGAGAAAAACCCATGCCATCCTCAAAATGATGTCAATTTGCCATTTATAACAACTTTAGGGATTGTAATCCATCAGTTCATACTACTGGTAGTCTATGATAATATTTTCAATGCGGAAATGAGCAATTTTGATTTTTTTTAATGCGCATTTTCCCAGGGCTCAGAGTTCAAAATATATGTTGAATGTTTGTACAGTACAGTACAGTATTGCAGTATTATGATGTGATCCACATTTGTCCTTTAATATTTCGCTTGAAGACCTGTTTAAATGCAGTACGTGTCATGTTAACGTTTGAGGTTTGAAGTTTAAAAAAAGTAAAAGTTGTATACACGCACGATGCATCATTAGGGTTCTACATGTGTGACAGGAAACATTACATATGGGAACGTAACATGCTGGAAGGAACTACTCTTACATCCTGGGAGTAAAACGTCGTTTTCCAGTTTTGACTAAATTAGTGTAGATGTCACTATATGCTGATACAAACACTGACGTTTCGACTCCATGCAGTATCTACATACAGTATTGATCATTCTTCCCGGTGGGTTTCTTCCTCCTCCATTGTTTCTCTCAGGCTCGTTCGTTCCCACAAACATAGAGGGCTCTACTGAGCGCAACTTCTTCGCCGAAGCGCATCAAGCGCCTGAAGTCGGTGCTGAAGGAGGCACGGGAGTTGACGAGGACGATGAAGTTCCAGACTGGTGGCGTGACCTGTACTCTGACTTCACTCAGCGGTTCAGCGCAGTTCTCACACCTGCTCAAGTGGATTCGCTGAAATCCGCTATGGAAGCACCTAAGGAAGAAGCGACACCTGTTGTCAACGTCAACAATGTTGTGGCATCCGCAGGAGGTGACGCTTCCTCCACCAGCGCTCCTGCACCAGTTGCCGGTGTGTCCAATACTGATGGCTGATGATAATCACAACATACACATCAATTCACAACCAAACTCAGATGTAGATTATATTGACAGACTTGTGTGGAGTAAAGAAAACATTACCCACACAATCATACAGACTCATTCAAATTATTTTAACCAACTCATTAATTGGGGGTGATATATGATGCTTATGCACACTACACCAACAATAAGTTACACATGGTACATATACATTTGCACAACTTGGACAATTTCAGCACTGCATTTATATGAGCAAATAATATGCACTTGTTCTTTGCTAGTATAGAGGGTGTATCTGAGATACTGTTCATAAGGGAACTTGCACAATCAAAGAAAGATATATGCTTACTACTGACTTAATTTAATTTTTTATAAAGTAATATAAGAATCACTGTATTCAGCAGAAAAGTATATTTTTCCTCAAATACATCAGGTGAGCATTATTTCTATTTTTCCCACATTAGAGCTTCCTCAAATGACCCCAGGAATACAGCAGTACAATTCCATCACAGCAGCTGTATCATGTTACAACGCATTATTTGTTGTGACAATTTTTTTACACTATGGTATAAAAATCTTCAACCAGCAGCTAATTTTATGACGGTGTCTTATAGTATAACCATGCACTTTTTGTCTTTGATTTCATCACATAGACCATACAGATAATTTCGTGAATGGCAGAAAAAAAAAATGTTTCCATATTCTAACTCGTTTATCAAGAATCTAACACTTTTTCCAGAGAACATGACAAACAGTACAGTATGTTAAAAAACAACACAGCACAACATCAGATCCATTCAAAAATGTAGCCTTCCTTTCAAAATGAACAGTATTGCATGTTGTTAGCAAGAATTGTCCTTCTTATGAAAAAATCAGGTACAATAACTGTAATGAGTTGATTCAGAAGGATTAACCCCACATGTACAGTACTTTTGTTCCATCTTATTTTCAAAGAAAAACATTACTGCACATTCAAGTAAAAAAAGCAGCAGTTTCAATTAAATTAATGGAACAATATGCATTCAAACATTTTCCCCTTCATCTCATCAGAGAGACTTGAATACAATACATCTTTCAATTATCCATCAAAGAACCACTTCACAGAATATATTACTCATTCCCATTAACATTTCAGTCCAAAATGTGTTGAAAACCATGAATCTTGATGTAGTATACAATGACTTTTTCAGCATAAGGGACTTTATCATGCAGGTATTGTACCTGGGAGTTTGTTGTGATGATATTTTATAGCTTCTTCAGATCAGATGATATTTCGAGAAAATTTTCATAAACTTTGTGGATTGAACAAATGCTTCAACATGATGAATCTAACATCCTGTTAAAACGATTCAATGAAAAACGCATCATTGAGGAAATTGAAAAGAGCCGCTTCAATGTTCGCTGATTCCAGCTGAAGTGAGTCGGTTGTCGAAGAGACGGGTGAAGCGGGGGTATTTGTCAGACAGGAGGAAAGCCTTGAAGAACATCAAGCTCAACAAGATGATTCAATACCAAAAGAAATACAAGTCCCTGAAGAAATCACAAGCCCTCAGCGCGTTCAAGCTCCAAGCCAAAAACGAGCTCGGTCGCTTCAGACCCTGAAAAGTCATCCTCCATCATCCGGAAATACCAATTCTTACCTTCTCAATCCTCACCAACAACATCATCATTTCTTCAGTTATGTTCAGAATGAAATATACAAACAAATAATACACTTCACATTGCGTGAATCTTCAACTTTCGACAAAGACTCATTTTTGTTATTGCTCTATAATTTTGTATCCGGACGCATATTCGACGAGATGAGATCCGATTCAAAGTTGTTCTCGTTGTTTTTCTTCTCATCAAAGAAAGAAAACCATCACATGTGTGTCATAGAAAGGTTACTTCTTCTTTAATCCCGTATCTATAAATACCAAGCTTTGTATTCACTGTCATCAAGCAGATTTCGAGAAGAAACAACCACAGGAAAAAGATTTTTGCACTCGTTTGTCATGGCTCATCTGCATTTGCGAAAGCAGCGTTATAGGTACAGTATATAGAGTACGTATACCTCTTATCGCACTTCTATTTGCACGAACTCATCCTTGCATTGTCAATACACGCTTTTTCGAAAGATAGGTCAATGAACCCCACAATAACAACGGAAATGGCGACTGAGGACGAGAAGGCGAGTTGGAGCACAGCCACGACGGCTACTTTGCCATCGAACGCGAAGCAAAGCGTGAGAGCAACCCGGGAAATGGTGAACAAGGTCAGAGCACTGGCCAATACCCACAGCAAGGCAACGAAGCCGTACCTTTTTTGAGAGACCAAGAAAAGAAGGACATAGTCAATGATTAATGTTGAAGCCTTGATCAAACGCAAACCTCGGTAACTCCAATTTCAAATCATCCGAAAGTCCAAGGCTTTCCTCATTGCTGATCCATAAACCTTAATTCGGCTTTTCTGGATGCATATTTCGACAATTACTTTTATTTACACAGGAAAGAGAAAAGCACGAAGAATGAAGAGATGTGTTCTGAAATGAGATGACAGAATAATTGGGCAAATGAACCCGTCCCTCGACCAAGTTTAACATCCTGTAAACTCATTATTAATGAACCAATTTTCAAGACCCAGAACACCACCAATCACAATTTCCTGTAATTCTTCTTTCATTCTCTTCTCCGAACAAAAACGCTTGCTTATACCTGTAATTTCAAACCTCCATCACAAAATTTTTGCTCGCCTTTTTGCAGCTCAACTTGAAGAGAATCGACTGATTAATAATGGAATAAAATCTATTACGTCGCGTTATCAAAAACAAAATCACAAAAACTCCAATTTGACGATGATCATAACTGCAGCCGAGTGACAAAAACAAACGTTTTCTCGACAAATAAATACCTTTGTACCTTATCACAGCTTATCCAACAGATTTTGAGATTGAGCTATGAAGCACATCATTGTAAACCTTTCACATCTTCCTTCCAAATTCAAGAAATAAGGCACCCGAATTCGCGTGAATTTCCAGTGAAAGAAACGCACAAAAAGCACAGAAACTGAGATTAGCCGCTGTTCTCATAATGCATATAGTCGGCATGCATGTACCACGTATGTTTCTTCCGGATACATATCGGGATACCATGAAAGTAACCGTGATTAATATTTTAAGCGTCTTTCGACAAACTCCTACCTGGACTTAGCCATTTTCCCAGCTTTATCCATCAGCATTCGCGAAAAGCTGAGATCCGCCTCAGCAACCGCAGCTCGGTGTATATTCGGTGGCAGTAAGGTGGGCGCACTCATGCGACGCTGTACCAAAGAAGCGTAGGAAGCAGCGCCACCTGCACCAGAACAGCTTGCAAACCCTGCAGATTGATGATGTCTACTCGTCCAGGTAGCGTCGCTATCAACTGGCTTGTAGCCATCGAATCCCCTGGTGAAGTGTACGCTGAAACTGGCGGCCACAATCACCACTAGTCCCTCTGGGCATGATGCACAGAGATTCAGCTTCCCCTGCTCTTCCAGGTATGCCACCATTCCCATCAGAATGCTCAAGATTCCTGACACAATCTGCAGACAAATATGTATACAGCAGTGGAATCTCTCTAAAACAAATATTTCAAAATGTTCTAAATGATTAGTGAAAAATGATTTTACATATTGTGTCCAGGTGGACCAAATGGATTCTACATGTGCCCAATACAGCTACTTTTGCCATCTGCGCAGTTTATTTCTCCTGAAAGAGGTATTAAATATTTAAATGGCAAATTATTATTATTTTGGCATATGGAACATAACAAAACCATCACATATACAAAATAATACATAGGCTGGGTTACATGATACTGCAACCGGATCCAATCACAATTTCTTACTTTTGAGGAAGCTTACTTTTGAGAAAATTTTTTTGAGAAAATTTTTTTGAAAAATTTACTATTCCAGTAGTACATTATATATATTACTGCTGCATTATTGACACAATCTTCAACTATATATGTATCCTGTTTATTGACCAACAGTATAACTGAGGCAACTTCTAAGTGATGGCATCATGAAATAGCTGAAAAGATGCATCTGCTGGAGGTATTGAAAAAATTATTGAATTTTTTGGAAAATTGACATCCACATTTCATGCATGGCACTACGTGAAACCAAGGCATATAATACAATCGGGCATTTAGCAACAAAGAAACATATAAACACACTTAGAAAAAAAATTATGGATTACAAAAAATAGGGGTTCAGTAACCTTTCTGCTGCAAAGAGCAACAAATTTCATTTCAGGAACATACCTCAAGTCAAGGAGAGAAACAAGGAGAAAAAGTCCAAAAAAGGTTTTCAATAACAAAAATTATAGAGCTATAAATAACATCTCACTTCCTATGCTAGTACATTTCCAAAAATAAATCAGAAATAAGAAAAATAATCATGAATCAGAAACAAATATGAAGGAAAATTCAAATTTTGAGAAAATTTGTATTCCCATGTGTATTTCTAACCATGAATTCTTCCAAGCATTTCCAATTCAAACTATCAAGTTACTGTATAAGTAAAGTTTTATGTAAAATCTTTTGTCTGTTTTCAAATGCTTCATACTACAGTATTTTTTAACCTTGATTTTATTGGAAATAATCTATTTATTGGAAATGAAACCAAGAAATGATCTATTCCCATCATTGGTCATTAAGAAAAATTATGCACTGTATCACAGATGGAATGCTTTGAGCAAAATCCAGCTGCAGGAATGGATCAAGTTAACTGCTCAAAGCCACATTGTACCTAATGTACTCCATCAGAGCATCTTCATCTCAAGGCCTCAAAGGCAAAGAACATAATTGCTCAAATGATAAGAAGCATATATAATCCATCAAAAGAAAACGACATAATCGCTCAAAGGAGAAGAAAATAATCCTTGCACATATGGGGGGGGGGAACCTCCTTTCATCCGCATAGACCTCACATTCTTACCTGCAAAACCCTCAAGCGCATGACTAAGGGATACGGATAAAACACTTCGTATGCCCTGTCCTCGTCCATTCCTGCCCTCCCGAACACCGTGCTCTCGCGCCTGCTGCTGCCACTGCTAGTGCCCTCTGGTAGACAAATTGTGAGTCTCGAACTGCTGGCAGCTGGTTGCGAAGCATAGACTTTATTCGATCCTCCATTGGTCAAAATAGACCTGGCGTCTTCCCCGGGAAGAGGCGCAGAAGCCCGTCTCTGTTGTGAAGTGACAGCTGACACAGTCAAAAGGTCCCCGGAGAAGTTCTTTGGCATGTTGCACGACGACCCCTGATGAACAAAGAACAGACAAAGACACTTTTTTCAATCAATCTAAAATCTTTCCGCACCTGACATGAATTATACAGCAGCACAGACGCATCAAAAGCAGAACCATTCAAGGAAACAATGTATAGGTGGGCTCTCTTTACAGAAAAATTCAAGGTAACTCATTCTTGTAGAGAAAGTTTTGCTGTAGAGCATCAATCCCTGTAACATGGCAAAAGAACCCTACATGGGTCCAAATACAAATGCATTATGAGGATAAAATTTGTGTAGACAAAATCATTGCAGAGGTAGTCCATCTCTAGTTCATAATTTGTCAATGTCAGATTTGGCTAAATTGGGTCACTTTGTCTTCATTCCCAAAAACAAGATCATGGATGCCATTTCAATACAGGTTAACTCTCTCTTTAACAGAATGCATGAGATACAAAATGAATTGTAGAGATTTTTGTTGTAGAGAACCCTTATAACATTGGAAGGGCACCCCATGGGACATAAGAAAAACGTATAATGCAGAGAAAATTGTTGTAGACAACATTTTTGCATAGACCAGTGTTCCCCAACCCATGGTCTGCAGACTAGCGCTTGTTTGCACAAGTCTTTTTGCTGGTCCATGGGAAAATTCCTTCTGTAATCAATTTATGAAAAGTAGTAATGAAGTTTGTTATTGCAATCCAAAATTTAGGAGAAAATGTCAGTTGAAATCATTTGATGAAAAATAAATTTTTTTTCTCTCCCATTAGCAATTCAGACATATTTTCACCTGCTGAAATATGTTACTTCCATGCAGTTTTCAACCTGAGGAACCTTTCTTCAAGCCCAGCATCCCATTCAAAGAAATTAAATTTCCACTTCATAGCTGCTTCATGGCAATCAGGGTGTGCAACTCAATTTTTTCAAAAAAAGTTTTGTCCTGAGGACTGCATGTCAGGTATTTAAAAACATTTTGGCTGGTCATTAACAATTGTACAGATCTTTCCAAGTCTGCAGAAAATTGTATGAAAATATGCGGGTTTGCAAAATTTTTTATTTGAATTTGTAACTCAATGGTAAAGACAGTGCACCTATATAATGCAGTGTATGCATTCATCAAGAAACTACATTAATAAAATGTACACCGGGAAATAATACATTTTTTCACAAAAAAATTCAGATTTCTCTGTCTCTCTTTCTTTCAATCCTGGAGAAAAGAGTAATTCAAACCATAACATTTGTTTCACTCAGCAGGTGTGATTTTGAGATACTGTATATATACTAATATACAGGGTTCAAGTGATCAGCAGTGATCATTGCTTCAAAACCAAGTAAGTGAGGCATGTAAGGTATGCATTCTCATCCCATCTTGGTTATGTTTTAGTTGGTCTCATATAAGGAGTAAAGGAGAAGATGGCTCTTCCAGCAGGAAATTATGAACATTCTGTACATTTGATCCTTCAAGGCATGCAAGGTACACATGGAACACATGCTGATGAGTAAGGATGAGTTATTATGGTTGCTTGCCTGAATTCAACCGCAATACAACACATTTGGGCCAGACAAATGAGACAAAACAGATGACTCATGTAACCAGAATATCTGCAGGGGAAGATCTCAATTGCATAATCAATTAATTCTCCCTTACTTGATTTTTTTAGTAAAATTTACTTGAATTCAGAAAATGTCTGACTATTTTTATCAATTAACACTTAATGATAATCATAATTACAACAAATTGGTGGTACCTAGATGATGAAGGCTAACTTTCCTATACAGTACTTCACGCATATGTATTTAAACATGACCTCAAAAACTTTTAAACATCAAGCTGCGAGCATTCTATTTTCAATTTTTCTCCCAGGAAAAAAAAAACTTAGAAGTGCTCAAAAATTATTGTGCTAACCATCAAGTAATAAAAAATACTAATATATCTGTGGGTTATTCTTTTTGAAGCCATGACTTTTTCCATGAAATATTCAAGAAAATTTTTCAGTTGCATCTTGCAAGTGATAACAAATCTGCACAATAAATGTCATACTGTAATGCATCAGTTTTGATATGTGTTGGGGAACTATAGAACTTAGGCCAAGGGATGTCAGGTCCTGGGACCTGAATTCTGGTCCCATTTCCCTTAGTGCATCTGGTCCCGAGATGCACAAATTCTTCAATGAACATATCTCCTGCCAATCACAGGTGGGGAGAAAGTCCAGTGTTTTGGTCAGGTCAGCTGACATAAGCTTTGTGTTGAATTACTGTATATGAAGACCCACTGTTTTCCCTTCCCTATAATTAGTCCTTTAATGTAGCTCTTACAGTAAACTTACCTCAAACAATGCAACCCCAGTTATTTTGATGGTATTATTGCATTGCATTCCTGCACCCTAAATTTGTGTGCGCAAATACATTGTTTTCATTGCATGTGTATCACATTATTGTATTTATTGTGATGCATTGTATTAGTGTTGTTTTTCATTGTGATTCATCAAAGACTGATTAAATCACACAAAACTAGGGATATATAATTAAGGTACCCCTCAATTACATATTCCTGGCCACAAACTAGCTGATTGCCCTGCCTTATTATTTCTTACCATTTCTTCCTCTGCACTATGGTTCAATTCTGTATGTTTGGTTGATTAATTCCTCAATATTATGCATCAGGTATTATGCCAAGCTTTTCTGAAAACCCTTCTTCCAAATACTGTACTGTAATTTTTGCACATACTGGGCTTATCATAGGGGCATCAACATAGTTCATGCAGTAAATAAGATGCACTCTTCCTATTCTCAGTGTTCCTATTTCCCAGAATATCTGGGAAATATGAATACTGAGAAGGAAGAGTGCGTAAAATATTGAATTGATGTCCAGGAAAATTCTCCATGACATTTGACCCATTTCTTGAGCATCACCAAAAATCACCATCATGAAGACTTAACTGATCCCTGTCTTCTAATTCAATTTAACGCAAATTCTTCACACGCCATGAACTTGAGACATGAATAGAAAACAATTGAATTCAATTCCAGAAAATTTAGAGCCAAGGGTACAGAAATCCACGGAGTATATATATGTGGAGGAATCCAAATGAGTCATCCTAAAAAGGGTAACGAGTTCTGCTCAAGGATTCATCGGGGCTTCTCATGGCGGGTAACTATCTCAGCAATTTCCGTAGGTCGGTTTCCGGCGCATTTGCGGCCAATTCCTGTTGCCATTAACCGCATTATTGACGTACTGATCCTTTCGCATCAGCGGGCTGCTAGTGGATCCGTTGATGGAGATGCGGCAGTCAACGCGATTATCAAGAGCAGCACCGGGTTTTCCTCTCATCGGACTCTGATTATGAGGCAGCGGGTTCTGGGGTTGGATCTTTGGCAGCTGATGGCTCCAAGAAGGTCCTGTTGCACGAGGGAATTTCCAAAAAAAACTTCAAGGTAATAACACTTATTTCGTAGATTTTTGTGCAAAATTTGCTTCCCACGCAAACAAAACGGAACCTTTTCCTGTTCTTCTCACTCATACAACTCTCAAAAGTTTAATCTTTGAAGCACGCTGTTCATATACATTGGACTTCCTATCAAAAAAAGAACCACGGAGTGACGGAATGGTTTTACAATTGAGTATTTTCCCATTTTTATCCACATGGACTACACCTAACCTTGAGACCGATGATATATAAATTCAATACTGTATAGTTCTCTCACTTTCGTTAAAATTCAGGAATCTTTCATGCATGAGATGAAATTTTCAAGATCAGTAATGCACGTTCAATAGGAGTCACGAGACAACGAAAGATGCAGACTTGAAACATTCAGAGAGAATCACAATGATAGCTTTACTTGCAATCGATCCGTTCATCCAAAAATGTTTCACAGTTGATACACTTCGTTATCACAAAACCACAATGAACAAATTGACAGTCATTCGAAACAAAAATAAACCCGTTGCTTTCACATCACACGATTTTCGCACTGTATATACAGTATTTTCATTATATTTGAATATCCCACGGAAAAAAGGTAGGATATTGGTCATATAAAAATTTTACAAACCTGCTGAAAAATTAGCTCGGACTTTCCGGAGATCACTTCGCTGTGATATCCTCGTGCTATCGAATACATTTCCGTGTATTTCTTTGACAGTCATTACAAGGCTTTGGGTATTTAATTGTGGTCTAAGGATTCCATGGTTTCCAGTGACGGATCGTCTGTCAAATTCGACTCTTCTGCTCGTGAACGGAGGGGCTTGGTTTGTTGAAAAGCGAGACTGTCCATGAATTGGCTGGGATTTTTGCTTCGCTGCATGAAGTAATCTTGATTGGGATTCCCTCTGAACACTGGATACCTTTATCCCGAAAATGCAGTAATAACAATAAGGCCCAAAAGAGAATAAACGACCCTCTTAAAACGCATGATAGCTTTAGAACGAAAAATAAGTCGTTTCATGGTAACTCATTCATTATAACGAGCTGTAGTCCCAATCAAACGTAACAATGCTTCTCAATATAATATCTAGGATAACTAATGTATATCGTGTCTACAATGGTCCCACTTCGAGTGAGGAACTATAAGGAAGTACTTCATGCTGACTGCTTATACGACGATGAGCGACACAACCCGAAAATCTCACTCTATCACAAAATTTCCCTGCGTGCTGAATCTCATGCGGCTACCACAGAAGTCCTTCAGTATACGAGTACAGTACAGTACATTATAATTTGTAAGTATTGTCACCTCCCATTTTGGTATGAACGTCTAACGTCACTTCATGCGTCGCGCTTCAATTTCAAATCCAGCACTTATCAGTCCACTCATGGCCAAATCATACGTTCAATACGGAATCACCTAGAAAATTTCAAGCAGGCTACGCGGTTACTGCGATTATACAGTACTTTCAAAACATAATTTTGGATATTAATTAATATACTGCTATGGCTAATGTATACTGGCCGGCAACGATGATTGGAACCAAAAGATACGAAATCCCGGCTCTCCGAAGAATTGAAGTATAATATCAGATCAAGGAAAATACGTGGTTTCCCTACTTGCTGGGAATCCATTGAATGTATAGGATCGACATTGCCCTGGTTTCCATTCTTCCAGAATGACGGCCTGATCATCAGAGAGCTGCCTGAGGGGTAATCAGAGCCGAGTACCTCATCTGCAACCGAGCCCCGGAGGGCTGATTCAATCACCGAGTTTCACCCTACCAATCTCAAGTGGATTCTAACCTCGTGACGAACGCGAGGATTGTTTCCCATTTTGGTCCAAAGACGGATTACTCCGCGGATTACTGCCTGAAGTCCGCCTGGCGGATAATTAGGAATTAAAAGGAGCCTGAGGCAAAAGCAATATCACTCGGCGGCGGATTGCGTCAAGAGTTAATTGAATTCCGAAGTAGCGAAGCAATTCTGCCGCATTTTTGCACAATACCGGAATTACTTTACTTATATATACACAATATCTCACCGAAACGAGCTCTGCTGCTGTTTTCTTGTATCGTGCTTTAAGTCTTTCAAGTTCACTGCATTTCTCCTGATTCTCTTGAAGCAACTGATGCAAAACTTCTGGTTAGACATGACGAAGTAGGTGTCGAAATCCAGACCACACTGGATGCAGGTTCCTTTTGTCCGAGAATCCACATTATCCGGGAACATTTTTGTTCTAATGAAAGAGCCAGTACATCGAACAGAGGTGCTCTTCGGCACAGTTCGCTCCACATGTCATTCGAAATGTAAACGTTTTCGCTTTTCACCTCAAATTTAAGCAGAGTAAAATTTTTTTCAAATATTTTTTTATTCGAGCCAAGTGAACACATTACAAGTTATTTTACCCTTTTTCTGAGCAATAAGGGGTAAGAGCAGAATTTGAATTCCCAAACATGGTCTTTGGTTATGGTAAATCCCTCTTGGACTACGGAATTTGGGAAAACAACATGTGATGAAGCACTTCGGATATAGTACGAGATACAGGCATCCAATTTCTAACAATTTTTAAGAGTTTCTTACTCGTTGATCTCAGTTCCAGCCTCAACAGGCATTTCGGCAAAATGCTTCTTGCAGTAAATGTCAGCATCCCGAGAAAAATAAATCAGTTGCTGAAGGAACACACCACATTCACAACACCGGAAACAGCCTGGGTGCCAGTATTTCTTGGGACACCCTTTTTTAGCTTCGACGACAGCATTTCCTCTCTTGAATGCCTCCTCACAATGGGCGCAATTCTCGCTTCTCCCCATAGCTTCATTCACATATTTCAGAACTCCGATCCCAATTGCTTGTTCCGCTTCACAAATTGATGGGCTCTGTGACTCATTGCTGCGCGTGAAGCAAGTGGACACGAACGAACTCGCCACGGGCGTCAATTCCTGAGTCACGTTCCCCGGGGGAGTGTCGAAGTTATGCCCGTCGTTAAGAATTGCTGGCTCCTTTTCATTCTGTGCTGATGCTGACGGGAGATTCTTGGTGTGAATTGCAATCATCGGCGTAAGAGCTTGATAAGATGTCGCGGCGGAAGATGGAAAGTAACTGCTGTCGCATGGGGATGATTTGTTTTTTCGCAGACTTCGGTCCTTCTGGGTCAAACGAGAATTTCGAGTGAAGAAAATGAGGTGCACAAACTAATCGTCTTTTCAATCGTACTTTCTGAAGAAATGGGTTCGAAGCTAGAGAAGCACGAATCATTTCTGACTCGTATTTAGTCAACTGATTCCTTCCTAAGTGCTCCTTGGACGGACATGGCTTCGACGGAATTGCATCTTTGACGGAGATCCTGTCAACGAACCTCGCTTCGTCGACGTTGCGTTCAGTTACAGATGGGATTCGATTTATCTGGAGTGATTCGAGTTTTTTGTTAAGATAGCCGAGAATTACTTGGTCTGCTTCTTGAGCCGTTAGAAGCATGATAAGGTAGCGAAGTTTCGTTGTATCAGTGCCATCTCCACCGATTATCCTCTTGACTATCGCATCCATGTCATGAGGCAGTTTCATCTCTTCATTCTCTGCGTCTGACTGAGATTGACCGGTTGACAAGGTTATGTTTGATGTTCCTGGGTCTTCACATGATTCCTCATGTCCGAGACTAGCGCTTCATGAAGAATCGATGGATATTAAGCTGCTGTCTGATATCCGTATACATCAACATGAAAATTATTTTCGTCCCATGATATGGATGCTGACAGTTTCTCTTGCGGAAATATAAATGTATTGCAATTATACAGGTGAAAGTTGCATGATCGAAGAAGATTTCTTATTTACTTAATAATTTCAGCTAGCGTCATACGCAAGTCGAGGAAATCTGAGCTTCCGAAGTTTTAACAAGCTTCTATACCTCAGAGCATTCTTCTGGATTAACGTCTGAGGCGTTTCATTTTCTCGGAATGCAGCAATCATGACCACGCCAATTTTTGTTCGAATTCTTCGAATTTCATAATAAAACCAAGAATTTTCTGCTCAGCTATCGTTGAAGCTCGTGATGGCAAATTCAGAATACGCTTCACAAATATCACTCGAACACATACTTTTCAGCAAAAACGTGTCCACGGCTTTCCATTTTTGCCGGATCGGTTGCATCAGATGCCCAGTTATGCTGGTGGTCATTTCGAAGTACTGTATCATTCATGGTTTCCTCAAGATTGATCAGAGCCATGAGTTCAAATTTTCTGCGTGGGATATTCGAACATTTCATTCAATCCCATTTGACGAAACTGTACTGTATATCTGTATTGACAATTGGAATCAAGAACCTACTGTATACTTATGTTGAACAAAATTGCCATGCTTTCATGGATCAACGATCGAAATGTGCTCAAAAGTACTGTATCAAAAAGTCGAAAAGGCATTTGTTTTACATCTGCTTTAAATGAAATGGCGTATTGTAACGCATTGGTATTAATTGGATAATGAAAAATATGCCTTCAAAGAACGGAAAAACTCCACGGAGCTGAACAAAATGCATTCATCAAAATTAATTAGTCATTAATGTCGATGATTCATTCGAAACAATTGCATTTAAGCTTATCTTCTGCGATGTTCGTAAGCTGACCACTGAAGGAACAGATGGAGCGAATGTCGAGATTCATACATGTGCATATCAGTAAAAATGCAGGTTACTGATGACATTATTTTCGATTACGGTTATTACTTTATTTTTGCAGTTCGACGGATACAGTGAAGTTGGAAGTGGTTAAAATAACCTATAATTGACTCGAAAATATTAAAAGCTCATTGATCATAGCGCACCGCTCTTCCCTGTATACCCTAAAATTAGACCGCAATCCTTTTTCTCGCTGTCCTACTGGTGGAGTTGAAACTACATGCTCCCTGATTGCCTTGCAAGTTCCATCGCCAGGGGACCCACTCAATCTTCATCCAGTCATGAATGTGACTATATATACGAACCCCTCGAGGGCACCGACACACCAGAGATTCGAAAGAACCTTTTTCCGCGCGAAGATATATAAACCTAGGGTTTGATGTGTTAAAAATGAAACCAAGTTTTCGCCGGACAGCTGTTCAGAAAATGGAGAAAAAAAGGTGAGCTTCGGTTCCGAAAAGAGGGAATTTTGATCAAGGAAGAAAAGAAGTGTATAAAAAGATCTTCATTGGATGAGGGACTCGAAAGGGAGATTGGGATCATCTCCTGTAGGTACCTTTGAAGGGCTTCGTCTATTTCGAAGGAGATCCGAAGCCTGACTATACGTTCACCAGACACACTAGCGATGGCGTAAATGGGGGATCCTTCTGTGAATTCTGCTAGTCTTTGATGTGTGCTAGTCCTATGAAGGTCTTAACTTGGTTGGTTGCATACAGTTTTCCTTGATCATCGGTAACAGCAGTAAAGTTATGTCCCGCAGCGCTGTACTTCAGCCAACATGCAATCATTTAAGAGTGTACAGTATGCTGTACACCAGCCTAAGCTTACTCTATGAAGACTGATGTCTTCTAAACTGAACATATTGACTGTAGTTTTCTTCAATATTTATCCGAAAACCTCTTGCTTGTTTTTCAAACAACTCTTGGCATATTTGAACATCCATAACTTATTTAACATCTTTAAAACGTGCATTCCTCCCTATATCAATTTTTTGAAGTCCCTGTCTGAATTTCCTTCAAACTATGCATTAAAATCTTCCATTAAACTCTAAGTCGTATTATGCTTCCTCAAACACCAGTAGGTCAAATTTTCTGGAGGTTTTCTGCCTTTTATTTTGTTGACACAGGAAATGACTTGATACATTTTGAAAGGAAGTAAAATATTTATAATATGCAAATGAACCCTTGCCTTCAAGATCATTCCTGTGAACTTATTCAACCCTTGGGCAACAGTATGCGCTCTTTTACATTGCATGGCAGTACTGGGATTTTTTGTTTGTTGGTCTAAAGTTCACCAAAATTCAGCTTTGGGCTGAGTAGCCAAAGTTGGGAATAATCCTGCAAATAGAAAGTAGTTGTCCTGATAATCCCCCAATGCTATAATCTTATGGCAGAAATTCAAACAATTCCACCCTACCATTTTTTCTCTTTTTTTCAGAAATTTGTCTCCATAAAGTTTTTGGGATTTTTCTCTTCTATTCATTTTTCACCCTTGTTTCTACTGCATGGGGCAAAAAATTGCACAAATAAATCCTGGCACTGCTGCCCAAGGGTTGAGAAATTATTTAAGGCCTAAATTTCCTAGAATATTCGCAACATAACAATTTCCTGTATACAGTACTTTTTTTCTTTCCCAAAACGCAATGCTTGTTTCCTTAATTCAAAACCTCCTTAACTGGCATTTTTGTGGATCCCTTGAAGCTCTATTTAAAAATAAAATTTTGGACGTGATGCATTGCAAAATATGAAACTCCCTCTGTTGATATCTGCTCCTTTTGACTGGTGCATCCATGAGATAACTTGTCATAAATCATTTTGCCAAATAGAAGCGCATATTCCGTTCAATTCGGACAACCATTTTCCTTGATATCAAGAAAACTTGCTACGCGGCAGATCCAATCCTCTCAAGAAGTTGGTTATACGGGAGTAAATGGTGTCGAATGTTTACTACGCTGATCTGGTGTCAAAATAAAGCATGTTTCCGGGTCTCACGAAGTACTTCCCACTGTATATAGTGCAGTACTGAACTTATTATAACGATATACAGAACTCCTCCATGAGTTGTATTCGCGATGAAAACCTATCTTGTCTGCATGAGTGCAACGAGTTATATACTTGCGCTTCGGCCGTTGCACATGAACGAAACACTCATCCGTGCTGTGATTCACTTGGTAGAATTGAATTTATTATTCGGTTTCTTCCTTTCGACGGAAAGGATAGAATTATTGTCTCTACAGTATATATTCGCATGTGTGTGTCTTATTATACGAAGACTTCACTCTTTTTCGGCCTTGTCCGTCTTCAAGGACAAGACGCGATGTGGATTGTTTGAATCATGCATGGCGGCTTTTGAGCAGTTTTCCTCATCATGAAATTGTCTTCCTCGTTTCAAGGATAAGAGTTTGTGCAGGCATACATCCTTGAAGTTGATTTTCGAGTAATTCCTCTCATCCTGGTGTAGTATAGTGTGATACGCTGCAAATGAGAGTGAGTCTCTGAGTGTGATCATAATGCGCGCGTAACCTTTCAAATCCATGACGATGAGTTCCTGTAACAGTCACAGGAGACAACGATTCTGACCGGCTTGGGTGAGCTGTGGAACACTCATGGGATTTTTTTCAGTTTTCTTGCTCTGTTTGGGAAATTTGGGTTCAATTATCGAGGTTAACACGTACGAACGCATCCTCTGAAAATAACTCGTGTTTCATGGGTCCGATTGGACGTGCTGTGGTTCCGATCAGGACGTGCGGGAACGATATGCTCGATATCTCTTTCCAAACTTGAACGTTATTTATGAACGAGATATATGGCACGAAAATTTTTACAAAGCACATAGACCATCATGTATACCGACGTATATCAGCCGACACACTTCGAATTTTCAAAGAGGCAGGCAGCATGCATGCAGTTATCTGTGTTTCTTTCCTCAAAATTGTTGAAAAGGCCCGCGCGCGGAATGTTGGAACATATCTTATGCATCTCCGCGATACCCTGAATGTCAGGCGTGGATTCGAATAAGAACCCGACAGTGCGTGAGGATGAGAAACAAACCTCTTGGGCAAGTACAGTACCATTTTTCGTCGTTCTTCGCTCAATATTTCTTGCTCAGCTTGACCCACGGGTGGCTTTCGTGGGAAGGCAAAAGGAGCAATCGGCGGGTCAACGATGCATTCCTGTAATGACCGGACGTGCGAGGAATGATACTGCTGCCTCCTATATCCTGGATTTCTTTTGTCTTGATTGATGCGTCTCGTGTACAGTATATGGTGTTTCCATACCGATGGTGAGAGATGAACTAGCATCAAAGGGATTATCTTCGTGTGGGATTTGAAAGCAATATGTTGCATGGAGTCAGTAAATGCCATGTATGCTGCTCATAGGTGACAGTGTTATATACGCTACTGGTTCTAAGATTTTTCAAAATGCGTCTTCATAAATATGGTTTCTTTGTCAGTATTTATGTTTTCACTTCAGTAAAACACGCACCCTACAAAGATGCGCAACCAGCAGGTTTTTCAGGCAGAAATTTGGATAGAACTGTATCTCCATTATGAAGATGACACGCCCAAGCACCCCGTTTTTAGTGACTGTAAAGTGGAAATAAATGTCAAAAACAAGAACACCCGAATTTGATTTTGGAATGAATTGAATATGAATTTAAGCAATTTTAAATTGCTTCCGTAAGAGTATAAGTCTATTCCCGATAAAATTGTTCCAACATTTGACATTTCCCATTGGAATCAAGTATCATGCACACCTGAACTTCAAAACCTTTTTGAAAAAAAGGTTCCTGTCCACAGCACACACTGGGTGTAGTCCAAAAGCCCCCCTACCAAAAGCCCCCCTATAGGTGAAAAGCTCCCCTCTGAAAGCCCCCTTGCCAAAAGCCCTCCTAGGTCAAAAGCCCCCCTTGGTGCAAACATTGGGGATTACAGGTATTCTTGTAACTCTTGATGGCAAGCTGCACCTTTCACCAGCAGGCCCAGCACAAGGCCGAGTACCAAAATGTTTGTAAGTTGAGTATAAAAGGGAATCCTCACCTGCATGGTCATCAGTGATTCTTTGAATGTCAATGCATCATCACTTGCTGACTACTGCAAAATCTACAGTTCACCTTGTTGATCCAATGGCTGATGCACTTCAGATCATCACAAATCAGAAGGGCAGTCAAAAGGCAAACTACAATTGTTATTTATTCACAGTTCAGAACACAAAAGCAAGTATTAGATGTTGGGAATGTGCTAATTTGGAAGATGATATGAGAGGGCCACATTAAAAAAAAATGACATGGAGAGCATCAGTGACACTGAGGAAGAGGCAGTAGAAGGTAATTTTGAAGATGACTATTCAAAAGTCCTTTAGAGGACTGATGAAACCAAACAGTCCTTCTCAGGGCCACCAAACACTGTTACAAAACTTGCATTCAATTAAAAAAAAAAGTGGGGGCTTTTGGCATGGGGGGGGGGAGCTTTTGGCAGGGGGGGGGGAGCTTTTGGCAGGGGAATCTTTTGGTTAGGTACTGCAAGCACTCCCTTTTCTCCCTCTCAGTTTTGAGAAGGTGAATTTTAGGTAATCAGGTAATTCAGTAAATATGGCACGCCTGCTCTAGTAGGTATAAATAATTTACCTTTCATTCCTTCTTCAGGAAGAAACATGCTTGAAAGTTGAAAGTCAGGAAAATTTTGGTGTACAGCATCAGTAATGTCATGCATCTCAATACAGCAATTCAAAACCTGAAATATCTGAAGTACAAATGTGACAAAAACATGGAAAAAATCAGAATGGTTGCATGATTGAACTCATTGCTAACTATGAATGGCTCCTTGTCTGCACTTACAGTACTTTAAACTAATCAGAAGTGGGGTCCTATAATGAAGATTGAGGTAAGGGTTCATTTGTCCAACTAATCCTTAACTTCCTTTGGAAACTTATCCTTATATTTTGTACTGCTTTCCTCTTTCCTTTGTCAATACCATAGCCAAAGACCCTCAGAAAATTCAGGTGATGTGGAGGTTTGAGAGGGAGAACGTTTCAGTTAAGGAGGTATTTAGTGCATTGTTTTGGCATTGCTTTTATTTCTGATGAGATTGTCTTTCTTGTTTCCCTTTTTATTTTTGAGATTAAAATATAGGGCATTCTACAAAATGTATCAAATTTGAAAGGACTATATTCATTTTGCTGAGCCTTTGGGCTTCTGAAAATGAAATTCAAGAAGGATAATTTAAAGTCAATTGATTCCTTGTAGTGGGCACAACAAGTTCCAATTGAGTCAGGTATGACAGTTTTACTCATAGCCAGGTACAAGGAATGCTGGAATGTAGGTCATCCGTGAATCCCAGGAATATACAACCAAACTTGGAAAAAAATTACTGATTAATTCTACCTTAATGCTATTATTGAATTAGTCCAATGCAGAATTTTTGATCTGGCATGATCTTAGAAATTGGTCTCTGTCTTGATGCTTAGAATAATTCCTACTACAGTAATTTTTTTACAAAAAATTTGTGGGGACTTCAGAAAAAGTTTGTTGCAACAAATAATTTGTTACAACATGATTTTCAAAAACAGTTACTGCTGGGAAGAT